TTTTGATGTCAACTGAAAATGTGCCAGAGGGTACATCGTTTTTTGTGGGTTTTTTTACAATGATATCAGTGAATATACTAGCAAAACATTTGCCAGCCGCTGACTTTTTGGGTCCCAATTCTTCTGGCCACTGGTGTACTGGAACTTCTGGTTCTGGAGATCAGTAAGTGGAGCAGCTTCAGATTCCTCCTCATGCATCTTGGGAGGAGGCCTGGAGTGTGACAACTGGCCAGTGTCTTCTTGAGTCGTCTAATGTATACTTACTCTATTATCTGCTGGGCTACTAGCCCATCCATCAGACTTGAGTAGCCTCTGCCCTGCCAGCCCCAGGCTGCCATTCCACCAATGCAAACACTGAAGAGAGAGTTTGTGTGTGTGTCTGTGTCTGTGTGTGTGTCTGTGTGTGTGTCTGTCTGTGTCTGTGTCTGTGTCTGTGTCTGTGTCTGTGTCTGTGTTGCGGGGAGTGGAGGTCACCTGCACGTAAGGGGGGTGTATCTGAGACCCACATTAATACATCACTTTGCTTTCTTGGGGCTAGGAAGCAACAACTTGAGCAGCCTGTGCAGTGTTTTCACTGAGTTGGTCCTGTTGGAGTGGGTGTCAGGCTCTTCCGTTTGTTGGAGACATTGTTAGAGACAACGGCAGAAAGGCCAGGGCCACAGGCACTAGGTGAGGGTTGGAGTGCAAATCCTCTGCTCCTTTTTGTTATGTACATTAGTGCTGCAGTACCAGGATCTCGCACCCCTGTTAAGCTTTAAACCCAGCCAGATTTTGAATCAGGTATTTCTGCTTAATAACGATGTACCCTTGGGTAAGTTGCCAAGTATCTGAAAGCCTCAGTTACCTAACCTTTAAAGTAGGGGAATAGCTGCCCCTCACGGCTGTTGTGATGGTTATATGAGGTAAGCATGCAGAATGAACATTGTGAACGTCTGATCAGTAAGTTTTATTATTTTTAGTTTTATCTGGGTGAGGTGGAGCAGGTGGGTTGTGTGGTACATAGAAAGGCTTCCCTGGGGATAAAGCCTAAACTGCCCCCTGAGTGGAGAGTAGGAGAGCCAGCCAGGCTACAGGTGGGTCATTCTAGGCAGAGGGAGCCGTTTATGTGGAACCTCGTAAAGGCTCAGGAAAACTTGGTCCAGGAAATTCAGGAAGTTCAGTAGGGCTGAGTGTAAGTTAGGAGGGATCAGGAAATTTATTTGTTCTAAGTAAGGCTTTATTTTGATTTTGTTAAAGAATGAGATAGAATAATTTCAGAAGAGTTTTGCCTTATTCTGCTGTATTTGTCTAACGAGCCCCCCCCACCCCAGACTCTTTCAGTGACTTCCCATCATGTATAAGATAAAATTTTAAAACTTTATCATATTATACTTGACCCATATAATTGTCTGCCACATGCCGCAAGGGCTGCTTTTAGTTCCCAAGTGCAGTGCCCTTGATACCTGTGTGCCTGTACACGTGCTACTGCGGTCACCCTGGAACTCCCTTTCTCATCCGGTCCTGTCGCCAGTCCCTCCTCATCCTTCAGGATAGTGGGTAACATACAGAAATCGATAAGCTAATAATCCTTTTACACAATAAGGCTAAAAGGAAATATGCAAGGATCTGAATGAAAATGTGAATAAATGGAGAACATACTGTGGTTAGGGTTGGAAACACTGACTACAATAAAGATGTTAATTCTCCCCAAATTCAGTACATTTAATATAATTTTTTTTTAAACATATCTTTATTGATTTCAGAGAGAGGAAAGGAGAGGGATAGAGAGATAGAAACATCAATGATGAGATAATATAGTTCTAATCAAAGTTACTATCTAGCTACACAAGTGTCCTTATAATTATTTTTAATTGACTACCTGATTCTAACGTTCATCTGAAAGAATAAACATAAAGCAGTTTTGGAAATTCTGAAGAAGATAAAAGAAAAGAATGGAGATTTTGTCTGTCAAATATTAACTAATTGGAAGTTTCCTACCCTTTGTTAGCTAAGGGGTGGACACATGATATAAGCCAAGCCACTCCAGCCTGTATTAATTATGTTTCTGACCATTAGTTCTCTGTTACTACATGACTCAAAACCCTGGATACATTTTCACCCAGTTTGAAGAGTAAGATTAGGATGGACTGACGTAAGATTTCCATTAGTGGCATTCACAGATTTCCCTTTGGGTGCATTTTAATGCAGTGGTACCCAGAGTGTGGTTTTGGGATCAGCAGTATCAGTATCACATGAGAACTTACTAGAAATACAAATTCTCAGGCCCCACCTAAGACCTACTGAATCAGAAACTGCAGTGTTGCGTTAGGACCCAGCAGTCTTTTACAGGCACTTGTGTGCTAAGGTTTGTGAGGCACATTTTTATTTTATTATTATTTTTTTAAATTCTAATTTTGTTTAAAATATTACAGATGTCCCTAATTGATCCTATGTCAATTCCATGAGGAGCTGTAGATATCATTCTCATTTGACAGACAGGAAACTGAGATCCAGGAATGAAAAGTGACTTATGCAATGTCACACAAGCTCATAGAGATGAGAATAGATTCGAACAGTCTGTTAGACTCCAAGGCCATGCTCTCAAGTATCCTGCTGAATTGTTTCAACCCTGGATTTGTGAATAAAGGTAACCCTGAAGAGGTCTCCTCTCCACACCTTTCTTTTTGATCTAGACAATGCCCAAGCCGTTGTAGGTGGTGATTTTTTTATTTGCTGGCTTGTTTTGTTTGTTTTTTTGTTTGTTGATCATGCTGGTAGAGAAGGTGAAATCTTTCAGGCTGAGGTGAGGCTCATAGTTAGGCATCTTCGACAGGTGTTCTGAAAATGACTCAAAAGCTCACTTTTGGGGAAAGGTGGATTCCACTGTCAGGACTGCGCCATCTGCTGAGAGAGTCACGAAAGACTGGCACCAACTTGGAAAAGGAAGCCGGCCTGAGACCCTAGAGAATCAGGGTTCTGGGGACAGGGTAGTGACAGGAGGTAGCTGGGACTGAAGATTTGAAAGTAGCAGACTAATAGCAAAATGTAACCAGTTTTAAACCCAAAGATTTTGAAACAAATACAATTTAACTTTGGAACAGATTATATTTAACTAGTGGAGATTTAACATGATGCCTCTGCAATTTAATACAGGGAACAAACATGGATTAAGTTACAAATCTCACAGAAATGACTGTGGCAGCCTGGGGCACAAGACACCCAGGTGGGAGGAATCTGTCACCAGAATATGGCAGAGCCCGTCAGCACCTGGCCCGCACTGTGGCTGTGGGTGTGTCTGTGGGTTCTGTCCACATCAGCCACCTTAGGGAGGGGGATCATGGTGTCCTGCAGATGCATTTTAGCAGCATATCGATGGCATGGGTTCTGGAGTTCATAGGCTAGGGCTGAGGGACAGGCAGCTGAGCTGTGTATAGGGTGGACAGGTGGATAAGGGACGGAAAATTCACGTGTGAATGTATGCAGAAGGCTTCTGTAGCGCCTACCTCCTGTTCCAGCACAAAATGACCAGCACGACCATAAAGGTCGGACACCAAACCAAAGGTCTGCTTGGAGCGGTTGACTCAATCCTGGGCAGCCTTCCCGCCCATTCTCCTCATTTTCCCCCTAATCCTCCCCAGGCAGCCAAAGGCGATTCCCAAAGCCCTTCTTGTTTGATTCTTGAAGTCTTGCTGCTGCTTCAGAATGAAAGTGTGCCTGTCACCCCCTTGTTTACCAGGCACTTTCACACACACTGTTTCCTGGCAATCCTGAGACGCTGCTATTACTATTCCCATTTTACAGGTGAAGGAATGGAAACTCAGGGAGGCTCAATGATTTACCCAAGGTCACAGGCTAAAAACCATCATTGTTAGGAAAGAATCCAAATCACTTAACTCCATATATTTGGGTNTGCCCCCTTCCATCTCTCTGACATTCCTCAGTCTGATCTACGAGTGAAGCACATTTTTAAAGAAAGAGGTTGTCATCCTCCAGGATACTGAACAGGAACATTGGGCTCATGTGATGTACCATCACAATAAGAGGCAGTGAGAGGAGAGAGCAGTTTCACACATAAGCCCCTAATGGAAATTCATGTGGCACACTTCAAGTCACAGGTGTTACATTTCAATCCAGCCATTCCTCACATGGACAACTCCAGGGCGAGCAGCAGCTGGAATTTATTTAATTGACGATGGTTAATGAGGCTCCCAAATAACTCAGCTAGAAAGGTCAGCTCATAAATAAATTACATATTTCCTGCCGTATCATCTGTCAGTTGATGTGAAGGTGTGATTGTCAAGAGATCTAACTGTTGGACTAAATAAAAAATTAGGAAGTTAAATTTGCTGGGGGAGAGGGGGAGAGCCTGCACCCATCCATAAGTGATTTTTATGCCATCCTTGGTTTTGTATAATCTGAGCCACTGATCGCCTCATTAACTCTCTTGCTGTAGAGTTCACTGTAGTTAGCTTTCCGTACTTTTATCTTCATAAGGAACATTTTAACCCTCATAATTTAAATACCCTTTAATGATAGTAATTTTCCTTCTGATATTAATAGTCTCAGGTTTTAAATTTTGTCTCTGAGAAAAACACTTCCTTGTGCAAAGGGTGATTGATTAAAATCTATTTTGATGGATTTAGAGATATGTAAAAGCAGGCCCTGGTTTTCTTGGAAAGATATTCTGCAGGGAGGGACTAGGCTGAGGCAAGTGAGGCCTCAACAGTGCAAAATTGTATGGGACACTGAAAATTTATTTATCTATCATAATGAAGGTAAATAATATTGTAATGGTCAAAACTGATATAAAAGAAAAAACCCACGTTAAACAAAATATCAAAGATTTCAACAAAGACAGGATCATATTTGGAGCCTGAGGCAAAAGGGAAAGTCAGTAATGCTGATCTTGGCTCTAAAAATCTCAGGTAAGTAAAATGTAAAACTAGGACCACATCTCCTCAATTAGTAATAGAAAATTGTATTAGTGTTCATAATAACAGGACTTTGCTTTTGTTTTCCAGGGATACACTGACATGTCCATCATGCTGGCAACACGCTGTCCTACTTAATCGATTCAATTGCCCTTGGGAGCTGGAAGAGGAGTTGCGCTCCAGGGGCTATCACACACTCTTCCAAGGATCCTCACCCTACTGCCCGAAGTCAGTGAAGTGCTACGTTAGCAGAATTCCCCACCTGCTGCCTTCGGAAAGGCACCAGGTGGGAAGCCTGAAAAAGTACTATCTCCTGAATGCTGCCTCTCTTCTCCCAGTACTGGCTCTTGAGCTAAGGGATGGAGAGAAGGTTCTGGATCTGTGTGCTGCTCCCGGGGGCAAATCCGTCGCTCTGCTGCAGTGTGCTTATCCAGGTAGTGTGCGTTTCTTTCAGTTTTCAACCACTTTGCAATGTCCACCTGTATAAAGTGCTTTTAAAGCCTATGGGGAGAAATGTAAGATTGAGTATGCACACTTTGAAAGCATGAAAACAGGACCTTGTGGAGAAAATGGAGATTTTAGCCGAGGAAATCAGTGTCCAAAACATTTTTCCCCCAGTTACTTAATCCTGGCAGGTAATTGGGAACAAAACCTATGTTTTGGGAATGAAAATCTATCAGATAATATGAATCCCAATAAAGCAATGACAAAGATTTTTAAAAATTTTATTACTTTTATGCTTAAGAGTCTTATGTTGATTTCCTTGTCCTACTACTATGAAACAGAGGCATACACATTTGAAATAATTGTTTTTTGTATCATTGGACCATAAGGTTTTATGGCAGTTCTGTCCAGTAGAAATAATACAACATTTACATATAATTTAAAACTTTTGAGTAGTCTCTGTGAGGGCTGAAAAAAACAGTTTGATGTTTTTCCCCCCAGCTAGTAAATCAACAGAAACAGTTTAACAGGATAAAATGTCCAAAGTTTATTACAGATGTACATGCCGGGGGTTGTCATGAGATATGAGACCCCAAAATACATTGGTCTATTGAATTTTATATGTCTTTGTGGACAATGGAGAAAGGGGACAGGGCTCTGAGATATCAAAGGAAATAGGCCATTTACAGATAGTTGAAGAGCAGAACGCATGTTGCAGGCACATTCTTACTAGGTAACACAGAATCAGTGGGACTTAAAGAGTAATCTAGTTTTCAGGCCCCTGCTTGGAGCCCTCCTATCCACTATACTTAATTCAAATTAGGTTAAGGTGAGTAAGCTAAGATTTCTTTCCTGGAACTGGTCTTTCCATCTTAATCTCATGACAGGAAAGGGAGAGAGTCAAATTGTTATCGGGAAAGTTGAGGTATCCCTTTTCCCACTAAGTGCTGGGGCTGGGTCCTTATGATATCTTGAAAAAAAGAATTTTCTGAGACTCACGTGGGAGGATAAGTGATTTTTTTTTTAAAAAAAAGTCTTTATTGATTTCAGAGAGAGGAAGGGAGAGGGAGAGAGAGATAGAAACATCATTGATGAGAGAGTCATTGATTGGCTGCCTCCCCTTACTGGGGATCGAGCCCGCGACCCAGGCATGTTTTCTGTCCGGGAATTGACCTGAGATCTCCTGAATCATAGGTCAGTGCTCAACCGCTGAGCCATGCTGGCCAGGCAGGATAAGTGATTTTTATTTGCATGGAATTACATCTCTGCATTTCAAAAGTCCCATTTCTCTTAATCCAGTTCTGGAAAAAGTATAGCTGGGGATTTGGTAGAGCTAAAGGCAAAGCCAGTGTCCAGAGTTTCCATTCCATATTGCAGCTGGGTCCAGTTGAGCATTAGGCTGGTTGTAGTTCATTAATCCATTGTGTGTAGGATCCACATGGCCATGGGCCACATGGGAGTGTAAAGCTGCAGCTTCCTAGCAAAGCTGCCAAGTGACATACCTATAATATTTGGCCTTTCCTGTTATTAATAACTAGGTTAATTACAACAGTATCAAAATGTTCTTTCCGAGTCTTAAAGTCAGTATCTCAAAAGTCAGTTCTAGGGTGACAAAATTTTGTTCCTTTTCATCTCATTAAAAAGGTAGAAAGAAACAGATGAAGTTAATTTTAATAATACATTATAATCCAGTACATCCAAAGTTTCATTTCAACATGAAATCAGAATAAAAATTTTTAATGAGATATTTTGCATTCTCATTTTCTTACAAAGTCTTCAAAATTAATGTGTATTTTACACTTAAAGCACATTTCATTTTGAACCAACCACAAGTAGATATAGCATTCGACAATGCAATTCCAAAAGATTTAAAGTTCTTCTGAAGTGAATTGGCATTGCCATTTATTAGTAAAAAAAATGGTGAAATGTATATAGTGTACATTTGTTAAAAGTAATTAGCCAATTCATCATAATTATTTTCTTAATGAGACTGTGGGACTTCTAAAAAAAAGTTACTAGGCCTGGCCGGGCGTGGCTCAGCAGTTGAGCATCGACCTAGGATCCAGGAGATCAAAGTTTGATTCCCGGTCAGAGCACATGCCCAGGTTGTGGCCTTGATCTCCAGTCGGGGGCATGCAGGAGGCAGCTGATCAATGACTCTCATCATTGATGTTTCTCTCTCTCTCTTCCTCTCCCTTCCTCTCTCTGAAATCAATAAAGATATATTTTTTTAAAAAATTCAAGTTTCCTTGGATGAATTACTTATAGCTAGATGAGATAGGGTTTAGCATCAGTTCGTCCGGTTTTCATTTGTTTGATGGTTTTGTTTTTTTAAATGCAAGTGCTGTTGTTCACATAGATTGGAAGGTGGAAATAGTGGGAGTTGTGTTATATAGTAGTTTCACTAGGTTTTTAAACTCCTGAGTTATAACCTCAAGTCACACAGTTATCTTTCATCAAGCCTTGTTTCAGTTATCAACTAGGTGAGCACTCTCTGGGTTCGTTTTTTATTTTGTTGAAGGCAAAGGATTAGAAGAACCATTTTAATTACAAAAGGCTGTGTCTATCTCCTGGTTGTTGAACTCATTCACTTTCTTAGCCAAGACACAATGTGTTGAACTTCGGTGCTTTGGAGGTTTCTACACCTGGCAGTTTTCAGTAATAAGATTCGGGATTGGCGGGAAGTTTGCTTCTCATATGTGAAGTTGGTGAACAGCCATTGTGAAAGGAGGTGCCCTCACTCAAGGCTTCCCCTCCTTGAGGAATTTGATCTGAAAATTGATTCTTATGAAACTGTCCAAGCCCACATATTCCTTAGAAAGTTGTATGTATCCCCTGACCATTCATATCTGAGTTTGAAGACTGCTCATTTATATCTCCATTGGAGAGCATTCCCTATTGTAACAGATTACAAAAATGCTTATGAAAACTGTGAATCCAGTTGTAGTAGACATTGGTACAAATAGATCAGTTAACTGTATATTTAGGAGGAAACACCCAGTGTGTTTCAAATTGTAGTTAAAACTCTGATATTGAAGCTTGCTATATTTTTTATATCAGAAATAACAAGAGAGATTATTTTGTAAAGTTTATCATTTTTATAATTTGAGCTGAAGCTTCATGGAATTATGTGTCATAAGGAGTACTGGGCTTTACTTTCACTCTGTGTTCTTTGACAGGATTCTTATTTTGGTTGTTACATCATTTTTGAAAATACAATTTTTAGTATTGCAAAAGATGGAAGAGAAATGTCAACTGGGGTACCATTTTGAAGAGAGGGCATTTTAATCTTAAATTATCCTTATTAGTAGGCTATAAATATTTTACATGCTTATGGTAGAGAAGGTGATTAGAAGCCAAAGACAAGCTGATATATTCTAGGACTTAGAAGTAGAGCAGAATCTTCCTGCTCTTACATCAAGGGCAATGAACTACAGGCAGTGTTCCAAGTAAAGTAGCTTTTCATCTAAGTAGGACTAATGATAATGGTTTACTAAGAAGTACAGATGTCTTCATGCTGATGCTCAAAGCCCAAATTAGGTTAGCTACAGTGCTTGCATTTGGAATGCAGAAGCATTGCTAATCAAAGCCTTTATAAGCAAAACTTAAAATGATGGCTTCGCTAAATGTGCATTTATACACCAAATTCCTTGGATCAGACTGGCCTTTATTCTGGGCCAAGAAGTTCACAGCTTTGAATGATTAAAAAGCTCATGTTTTAGGTTGATTTTAAAAAGTATTCTACTTCTCTGTTGGTCCAGCTGCTCCTACCTGTTCACACAGCGATGGGCTGTCCATTGTGTTTTGGGTTTGTTTTTTGTCAACACAGCCTTTGATATGTCCTGGTATTGACAGAAAAAGAGAAAACAATTCAGATTCTAGGAAAACATTAATACACTGAGAATGACCTAGCTTGGCAGAGTGGCTTAATCAGTTTCTTATTGAGGACTCTGTCTCTCCAGGCATGAAATTCTCTTGTTGTTAGTGATATCTTTTTGACATCTAGTCAGTCTTTGGTGGTAGAGAAGATTAGAAAGACTCAGTTTTTTGCTGAATTGCTCTTGCCCTTCTAGCTTCTTTCACACCCTGTATGTACTATTTCTTCCCTCTTCTTCCTCTGCTAACTTCTTTCCATTCTTCAGGTTTTCACTCCAGAATCAACTTCTCTGAATTCCCTGTACTGGGTGTACCTTCTTTGTGGTAATAATAAAAATAAAAGTAATAACCATCTTGGAACACTCAGTATCTGCTAAGGACTGTATTAATCACATTGCATAAATCTGTGTTTTTCAAACATTTTTAGTAGTCTGCTTCCAGCATCTTAGGTTGAATCTCCTTATAAACATATGTCTGAAGTCCTAGGGCTCTGAGGAACACAGTGTGATGACTATCACTGGTTTATATGACCTCATTGAATTCTGCAGCCCATTATTTGGGCATTATTATCACCATTTTAAAAACAAAATTGAGACAAAGAGAAGTTGCCGTAGATGGGCGGCAGAGCTTGGATTTGAACTTGGATCTGAACTCAAGTTTTCACTAATACATTAGTTCTTGCCTCTGTTCTACATTCTCCCAGGGTTAGTGAATTGCTGTCATGTCAGTCATCCTCCATTAGCTTCTGGAAGGCTTACCTTTGTGTCTGTAGCAACTAGCACTGTGCCCAGTCCATAATAGGTGCTTAATGAACCAGAATCTTAAGGTATTTATACTCAAGTATATTTTAGTCTATTGTCTACCACGGTTTAACAAATTCATTATTATCATTTTTAAAAAATTTATCTTTATTGTTGAAAGTACTACAGGTGTCTGATTTTTCCCCCCCAATTGACCCCCTCCACTTCACTCCCACCCCCTCCCCAGGCCTTCACCCCGTTATTGGCTGTGTCCATGGGTTATGCATATATGCATATAACTTCTTTCGTTAATCTCTTCCCCCCCTCCACCCCCCTTCCCTCTTTCCTCTGAAATATGATCATCTGTTGCATGC